TGCCACGAGGCCTCCAACTCCAGATACATAGTGGAGCTCGAGGATGGAAGTCGAAAACAAGCCAGAGCTTTAGAGCAAGCAAGCAACTGCATGGATTGAACTTTGCGCCGAATTCCTGAATATTGCGGTCTGAACAAGGTAAGCAGCGGTTCCTTGAAAACTTGTCGATGATTTGCTTGGGTGTTCCCTGGCACCTCGTCGACACTCGTGAGGTGAAGCGGCTGGCCCTTCGCTTCAACGACGAGGATCCGCAGAATTTCGCGTTGCGGGCAGCGGGCCTCGGTGTCTTTTTATGAAGACCGGGCGGCCGGGTGGTCGGGGGCCTGTCGCTTGAGGTGGAGACCTGCCGTGCCAAAAAGGCGCACTGCGAGCTGCAGCAGGCCAGAAGCCGCTGGGGGGATGTTTGATGGCAGCGGTTGACGAAACTTTGCTTCTTCTGCCCGTGAAGCGTTTTGCGCTCCCATCCGCTTTCGATTGCACCATTGCCTTGCTTGGCTTCAGGCGTTCATCAGATTTATTGAGTCGCAGTCGGACGAGCTGGCACCTTGCTTGCAGATCTTGCAGCGAGACGGTGTGCTACCTTTGCCCGCTTTTTGGCCGCTGATTGTTGCGGTCTCGTCCAAGGTCTCGCCAATGCTCCGAGAGCAGAAGGAGAGGTTCATCCGTCAAGGTGGGACATGGCATGTGTACAGTCAAACTGAGCCGACGTCTGAGAACACGGGCAAGGAGCAACACAAACCTGAGGCTGCATGTGTTTCCGATGTAACAACAAGCTGGAACGGTAGCTCATACGAAGCACGCAACAGACAAGGGCCCATGAACGAGGATGCCGATATTGGATACTTCAAGTTGTGAGGCCTTCATCGAAGCCACCTTGAAGACTCCGGGAGTTTCGTGGGCTGCGGGCTCACAGACCTTGATGAGCAAGATCAATGCACTCAGGAGAGTGAGTAGTCCATTTGAACGACACCTATTGCATATGTGCCCATGAAAGTATTTTGGCTCAAGCCTTTGGAGGCTCAAACAACCACCTTACTCCCCATTTAACGTGTCTAACGTGTCTGAATCTGGATCTAGAATCTGGGACAGGCTATGCCTTGCGCTCGAAGGCTGACGTATGTTACCCTCAGCCTTTTCATTGAAACCGCCAGTGAGTGCATTGCGACTGAGACCGCGGCTTCCGGTTCTCTGCTGCAGCACTCGAAGCGCAGAGAGGAGGTTCCTGGCCCTGCTCAGCAAGGGCGAACAGATGGACGCCCGTCTGGCCGCGCGTTTGGCCGCGCGTTTGGCCGCCCGTTTGGCCGCCCGTCTGGCCGCGCGTTTGGCCGCGCGTTTGGCCTCCCGCTTAGCCGCCCCTCTTCGACTGGCCAGATACCCAAGCCAAGCCCGGCTCCGGCTTTGCCGTGCAACATGGTCCCGTACTATGCTTGCGCGGTTGCAAGTGGGATGTATGCCGTCGCCCTCTTCTCATTGCACAGATGGAATGCTGCCGAAAGCGAAGTTCTGCCAAGGCGAATTGGGTCTCGAGACCCACATGTTGACAATGCAAAGTTTCTGGGAATGGTACTGGTGTGCTGGTCACACATCATCGGCCCATTGAGGGTCCTCGAATACACTGGCATCAATTCAGACTTTGTGATTTGGTTTCACATGCCGATGTATGTGTTCCTCTCAGGTACCTTTGTGAGACCAGCATCATTTCAGGGTTTACTCAAGGTCTTAGTTCTGGTCCTTTTCCCGCTGGTGGCCTTCTGTTTGCTGATTTTCCCGCTGGAGCGAGCGGCACTGGAGTCGGGGACCAATTTGTGGCTTCCGGGAACGGCACCCTATTTCGAAGGCTCCGTCTTCGATCTCCTCATGGGATCCGGCCCGGGCTTTTTCATTTGGTTTCTTCGCTGCCTGTTGATTTGGAAGCTGGTCACTATGTTTACAGTGTCTCTCCCAAAGGTGGCCCAAATCGCCCTGGGTATTCTGCTTGGACTCACGGGCGTTTATTGCCAACCAGAAGAAGGGAGCATGTGGAACTTTGGTATTTTTGCTTACCAGCGAGCACTGCAGTTGTTTCCATTTTTTCTCATGGGCCAGCATTTGGATACAAGTCGGCTTATGAAAGCTGTCCCTCCACCCTCGACATTGACGATGGCATCTACTTGGCTTCTGCTTTTCAGCCTGCTCATTTGGAAAATCATGCTCAGATTTGGAGCGATTTGACAGATGGTCTATTCAACCTGATTGATAGCTCTCCTGCGCCGTTCATGACCTACCATTATCCAGCGAATTGCAACAATGCATACTACTGGCTTTGGGCACGGCATGGTGCAAGCCTTGCATATCGAACATTGTGCATGTTCACCTTCCTCCTTTTCGGTGTTCCACGTGGAAGGGTGTGGTTTACAGATGCTGGCTCCGCAACAATGTACGCATATTTGCTGCATGTACCCTTGGTGCACTACACTGTCGTGGGCCTGACAAAAGCGAATGCGCCTTTTGCAGCCACCCTGGCAAATCTGCCGCCAGTGCTTGATTACATGTGTTTCATTGTGCTGGCGATCGCTTTGAATCTGTGGTTTGCAATGATTGTGTATAGCTTGACCCTCAATCCCGTACGATCGATCTTCGGTGTATTGATAGAGCCGACATGGCTGCTGACCCTTGCGACTTCGAACACTCGCAGTCCAGAGAAGGCTGATAATGCCAAGTGAGCGGTCAGCCGAGAGGCGATGGACAAATATTTGTCACTATCACCAATGACATAAGTTTGTAGTTGCAAAAACGTCGCTGAATTGCGAGAATGAAGCAGCCAAGCAATCCCTGCCTAGGCCACATACGCGACCTCATTGAAGACATTGAAGAGTGGGCAGCTCAATATATTGCTTTTTCATTTGTTGGAAGCCGAACGGATCGTGATTGCTTTGATTGCCCGTTTCTTGCAGAGATACTCCATGCCTGCAGGAACTACATCCTCTCGATGAAATTTGCATCCTGGCCAAATGTGGGAGAGGCAACGCATTCTCGGGCGGCGCTCCGCTTGCGTGGCCGCAATGGCATTGCGATATTGCCTGTTGGGTCGGCGAGGCCTCATGATGACTGTTGCCGTGTCTTCTTTGTATGTTTATCTCTTTTTGTTTTTGTGAGTTGTCCAAATATGTATGTATAAATATATACAATACTCTTTCTCTTTTCCATCTGTTTTCATCATTATCCCTTTCATTCTTTCATCCTTTCATCCTTTCTTCCCTTCTTCCTTCCTTCCTTTCTTCCTTTCTTCCTTTCTTCCTTTCTTCCTTTCTTCCTTCTTCCTTTCTTCCTTTCTTCCTTTCTTCCTCTCTTCCTTTCTTCCTTTCTTCCTTTCTTCCTTGCTTCTTTGCTTACTTGCTTCCTTGCTTACTTGCTTCCTTGTTTTCTTGCTTTCTTCTTCCTCTCTTCCTTGCTTCCTTTCTTCCGTCCTTCCTTTCCTTTTTTTCTTCTTCTTCTTTTTCTCCTTTTTTTTGCCATTCCTACTTTCTTGCTTTTTTCTTCTTCCTTTCTTTCTTCCTGTTTTCCTTCCCTCCTCCCTTCCTGACTTCCTTTCTTCTTTTTTTGTTTATTCCTTCTTTCTTTAAGACTTTCTTTACTTATTGCTTTACATTTGTCTTTTTTATGGTTGCTTCTGTTTTAACACTTATTTTTTCATTTCACCTCTGTTCCGTTCTTGCTTTGTTCCTCTCTGCTTGTGTCTATCCCTCTCTCCCTCTCTTGCTTTCTGTCTTAATCATCCATTTCTGTCTTTCTCCTTTCTTTGGATGGAGCTGCAAAGGCACACTGGACATGCTCCAATTGAACGCCTATATGCCGAGGCAAAAGTCAAGAGCGATCTTATCCTTGAGATGGGAACTCCGCCAGTATCCTAGACATTTCCTGTCGTTTTGCCACATTGCATTGTCTTCACCGCCACTGGTCTAATGAACTGTTACCAGATGTGACCAGACGTGTGCACCTTGGGAGTCTCAGATACTGTTTCTCAGCTCTGCCAAGGTATGCCTGCGTGAGGGAGGACACGCCCTTTGCCCCTCTGTGCGGCATCCCAGGAAGTTGCTGTCAAGCTGGCAGGGCAACAGTCTCAAAATCAGAGACTAGTGGCCCGCGCCTCACCTGACCATTTCCCAAACTGGCCGAAACTTGAGCGAGATGTGCGGGGATCCGCCGGAACCATGACTGCGGGTTTCAGGATTTGCCTCTTAAGCCTCTTGCCATCAGCGCCACGAGTCGCCTGCCAGCTTCCAAGCCGCTTCTCGAGGCTTAGCCCCTTCCTGCCCTCTGAGACGCCGCAGTATGGCTTAGTGCGGCACCAGGAGCGGGACTCCGGAAAGGGAATCCCGTTGAAAAGGAGCCCAAACGGAAACTGAGCCTTGCCAAAAAGTAGGTCTCCAGGTGTAGAGGCCTTTGTGCAGGACGCCGTTTTTGCCGACGATGCCAGGCCGCTGAGCAGTCTGTGCTGGAGATTGCCTCGCAGCTGGTGAGGCAGCCGACCATCTCTCGGAACGTCAACGTGCCACGCTCGGCCACGATCCGTGTGCTTCCCCACTATGGTTCAGTGGTTGCTTGGTTTCCAGGTTACCCTTCAAGCGCCGTCCAAGAAGGATCCCCCGAATTTGGAGCACACCCCCTACATGGTCAGAGCCATTTGATTTGCACAAGTGACCGGCCCTCGCTGTTTCAACGGCAGGGAGACTAGCGGACTGGATGACGTATGTGCACACAAGACAGCTGACATGGCAGCAGTGAGCATCGCCTGTGCAAAGACCACGCCACATGGAGAATTTGGCCCTGGGATTGGAAGCAGTGGAAAGGATGTTTGTGGTCGCGTAATCGACTGACACAGCAGCGACTCAGCCATTTCAGGCTGTTGGGCGGGAATGCTCTCGTTTGCACACAGACAGCAGACGCGCGCACAATGATCAGTATGTGTCTTATCATAGACTCTTGATGTGGACGTGCTCCCAGAGCCATGGGAAGCAGCAATGTCGGCGAAGGGTGAGACGAGTGCTTGCGTGCCCTGACGTGCGATCAAGAAGGTTTGCATGGCAGTGCAACAGCGCAGTTGCAGCTGATACAGAATACTTCGGCCCAGAAACCGGAAGAAGCCCATTAAATTCATTCAAAGTGTGCCAGGTACCTTGTGGCAAGCCATGGCGGCAAGTCCTTTTGCTGCTGCTTGGTACTTGGATGGCACTCTGTGGCGGCAGCCTCTATGCCTTTTCCAGGCCGAAGACATGGCGGCACGGCAGTGTGTGCCAGCATGTTCAGGATTTCAATTGGATGAGAAACACTCAATGCAGGCAGATATGGAAGAACATAGCATCTTCATTGCGGAAGTTATTTGGTGAGTTGTCAGATGTGTACATTAGCCCGCCAATTGCTTGGCAGGTATCCTGTGGTATTGCTAGGTTCTGGGGCAAGCAAGGGGGATGGGAGGCATCGGAGACCAGATTCCTGCTTTTGCCAGGTTCGAGGTTCAGATCATGAGCCACTGCGGCCTTTCTGCACAGCAGCTAGATGTGGTCTACGCTGCGGGTCAGGCTGAGTTTTGCGCGAGAAGTGTGGCCTTGTCAAAGGGATCTGTTACACTTCTCATGTACCAGCTGTGCAGGCCGGCGTTGGTTTAGGCATCATCCCGGGCACGCTGTATGATCTTCGCGGTCCAGCGGGCACCAGTCTCTACGGTCGCTTTGCTACATACGGTAATGTCAATGACCCTCGATCCGTGCGAAGATCTGTGTTGACAAAGCGCTGATTGATGCATGTGGTGAAGGCTTGAGCCTGCAGGCGAGTCTTGTCACCAGGTGCTGTCTTCACAGCGGCTGGAAATTTGGGCATGTCTCTCATGTTGCAACGAGATGGCTGCGGTGGTGTGTCAACGCTGGCGCTGTGGTACTTTCTCGTGCAGCAGGATCGCAAATTTGGCCTTCGCCAGAGTGTGGAAAAACAGAATGCACCGGCTTTGTTGCCTCTAGTTTCTGCTCAATATACAAATCTTTACAAGCACGGAATCTTTCCACATTTCGTTTGTTTGCACTGATTGCTGTGTCCATTGAGATCCGTGCTGCTCAACCTACCAGCAATGCATACATATATATATACATATATATATATACATAAACTACAGTTTGGCGCACTTTTTTCCCCTCTCTTTCTCTTGTTTCTCATTCTCTTTCTCTTTCTCTGTCTCTCTTTCTCTCTTTCTCTCTTTCTCTCTTTCTCTGTTTCTCTCTTCCTCCTTTTCTCTCTTCGCCTCTTTCTCTCTTTCTCTCTTTCCCGCTTTCTCTCTTTCTCTCTTTCTCTCTTTCTCTCTTTCTCTCTTTCTCTCTTTCTCTCTTTCTCTCTTTCTCTCTTTCTCTCTTTCTCTCTTTCTCTCTTTCTCTCTTTCTCTCTTTCTCTCTTTCTCTCTTTCTCTTTCTCTTGCTTTTTCTCTTACTCTTTTGAAAGTTGATTCCCCGAAAGTGCACTTTGAGGGTCGACCCACCCAAAGTGAGCAGAGGGCTCTCCCCGCTACTTTTTCCCAGCTCTCGCGTTTTTCTAGGCTATTGACAAGCGTCTTCCCGCGCAGTTCTAAGGGGGGAGCGAATCTCAAGTAGTTCCAGTGCCACGGAAGCTCCTTCTAAACTTGCCTTGGACGAGCCATTCCAAGAGGCATGCTGATTCCTTAACTGCACTCACCGCTGAATCACGTTTGCGGCTCGGTCGTCAGGGCTCTGTGGCCATCTTCCAAGCGGGCCTGTTTTCCAACATTGCCCAGGCCCCGCCAAAGATGCAGGCGCTCCGGCTGAATGGTCGCCGGCGGGGGCAGTGGGGGTGGTTCAGCCACATGCCGTGGAAGAAATCCCCTGACATTGCTATTCTTGAGGTTTTGCATCCAGCAGCTTGCTATCAATCGCAAGTGAAGCCAAGAACGGCGAATCTCCAGAATTGCTAGTCTTTGACGATTGTCGAGGCGAACCATGCAAGGTGCATTTGCTTTGAAGTGCGAAGGACTTTGGAATGCCATTGGTTTGGTGTGTAGTCAATTTTGAGCTTGACGTCATGAGCACTGCCGGTCTATTTCGGCACGTCTAAGATGGTGGCGCTGGTGATTGGCATGTAGGCACGGCCCACGCTTTGCTTTTTGAAACTTCAGGGCCTTGTCACGGGCATTGTGTCCTCTGGCTACGGCCTGTCCGCGGCCTTCGTGACGCTCCTCTTTTCGATGTTTGGCGATGACGCGTGGTATTGGTTGGTTCAAGTTTGATACCGAGCATCGATTGGATTTTGTCAAGAGCAATGCCGTGGGAAGCTCTCGCCGGAAATGCAAATATTCTTTGCTCAGGACTTAGATCGCTACTTCAAAGGCACCGGCCTCATTTTCTCCTTCACTGGCCTGGCTGCGGCAGCTTTGATGCCGCTCCTAGCTTGAAAGGCAGTGTTTTTGAGCAAGTCCAGCCATGTGCCGCCATGTTTGCAGAAATTCTCAGGTTGCTGCACAGCAAAGCGCATCCTGCTGCTTATGGCCGACTGGAGGAAGCTAGCAAGGACGAGGTCCATTAGCAGCCATTTGCTCTTGGCCATGATTTTCTATCTCCGCCGCAGTTGAAGCCCTGCCTTGAGTCCTCCTTGCGAGGCTGGGCATCGTTCTCCACAGCCCACACTGCGGCTTGCTTTCAACATGTCACACTGCGCAGCAGCCTTGACATGTAACGTTCTAGCAGTGCTGAGTGGCGCCTTGCAAGAGCAATATCATTTGCATTGGAAGCTAGATCATCCATAGGTCATTTTCCCGATGCCCCAGTAATGAGTCTGGCGGTAGGTGCCAAGTGCTGCGGAGCGTGAATGGACTGACACATTTTGGTGATGAGGTATGGCCGGCAGGACGAGGACTCTCCAGCACCTGCAAAGTTGCCTAAATCTGCTCCAATGACGCGGAGTGAGATTTTGCATCTCGCCAAAAACGAGAGCAGGAGCAATGCAGAGAGAAAGTCTTGCCGTCTTGTGCCATTTCCTTGCGATTTTTGATAGACCAGGTGCAGGGCCGATTTTTGGCTCTTCTTGCTCTCCTTCGTCCTTTTGCAACTGGGCTGCACACAAACGCACATGGCCATGGGTCATAATTGCCTCCATTTTTGGGGCGGATGAACACCCATGTACCACCTATTTCAATGTTCACCAGGGGCACATGGTTTTGACCCACAGCCACATGAGCGTGTCTCTTTTGAGGGTACCAGGTCTTCTAGGTTTTGAGAAGACACAACACGAACTTGGCAAGATCACCCAGGCAGGCCATTGGCTCTGGGCTTTACATCGCCAACCTTTCCTTGCACCTTGACTCAGTTCTCGTGTCGGTGTGAAAAAGCAGAGCCAATGTTTGCCAGTTATTGCTTTCTTGGACCTCACCATGTTGAAGGAACCTAAAATTGTTTTGGGCACGCAAAAGCAGCTAGTGCACAGCCTTCCGCCAGGATGGGTGACTCCTTTGGCATTTCTGCAGATAGCCGAGCAACGTATGTACGAGCAGTGTAGGCGGCTTAGTTGCGGTACCTGCATCTTGTTGCGGCTTTGACAAGCGTTCCTCGGGGAGTGTGGAGTGCTTTTGCATTTGGCTCTACGAGAGCCTCTTCAACTGGCGCCCAGACACTCGCAGTGCAGTGAGCGGCCGAGGTCCTACTGCAACTGTCTCGGGCGCATTGGCAGTGGCCTTGCCATGGATGCGCTGGAGATGCGAGGACAGCAACCGCTTCCCATGTCTTGTGCACGTTCGGAAGCTTCAAGGCAAGCGGGGCTTTGAAGCAGTTTCCAGCATCTTGCATCTTCAGGTGTGCACCGCTCAGACCACATTCTGATTACGGCCTGTGGCGTGATTGTCGCTTCACTAGCTCTTCTTCTTTTGCCAGAGGAGGACAGGAGTTGCCTGCTGTGAGATGTTTGATTGTTGTCATTTCCTTTTCTGCATATTGGTTCAGTGTGCTGTGGCAGTAGGATGTCTAAGCCGTGCTTGGTGCAGATGGCCAGAATTGTGAGGGCATTTTGTGAGAGGGTGATCAAGCCCGAGAATCTCAGCTTGGTGCCGAACACACAGCGCATATTTTGAGGCGCTGGCAAGCGCATTGCTCCCTGCGCTGGGGCTCACTGCTGCAGCGTATGGTGCAAATTGGGTTTCTTGGATGCTACACATTTGACACGCGTAAATCTGATTTCAAGTTTCTGTGCATGGTCGACTCGCAGAGTATAGATGTTGTGCTTGTTTTTTTTCGAGTTGCTTGCTGGGCGTGCCTTCTTCTAAAGCTTTGGCGGAACCTCAGGCTATCATGCCATCATACATTGCAAAGCGCTTTCAGGGCTCGCATGCGCCTTGGCAAACACATGAATCTGCTTGGACTTTACAACACATCTAGCTCGCTTGCCTTCAGAGGCGTGCCAATTCTCTGGGATATGCCAGAAACACAAGTCAAGCTGAATGCCGTGCTGGATGTGTTGTAGGCAACGCGTTGAGGTGGGCATGATGTTCAACATCCACAGCGGTCATATAGCGCTGGCGGTGCTTCTAACCTCCTATGCCGCGGGGGGCACAGTTTTTGAGCAGTTTTTCGAGGGGCTGCTCTTGTGCTGCTGCGTTGCACTTGCAATCCTAGGTTCAAGAATTTGGGTTGTGAACAGGATAATTCATGTTGCAGGGCTGTTTGTAAAATATAGTGATTCCTATCGGGATCTCTTTGTGTTTGCTGAGCTCATGATGTGTGGAAATCAGGTTGGCGGTCTTTATGATGCGCAGGCTGCGGAACAAGGCCAAGGCAAGCAGGGTCATGTGTTGCGAGCCGCCCACTTGAGGTTGCATGGGGTTCCTGAATGCACGGACTCTGCTGCATTTGCCGAATCAAAGACGAGGGGCCAGCGCGTCAATGAAAGGTTCTTCGGGTTTCCCAGGTTCAGACAGTGGCCGTGTTTTTTTCACTCTCAAAGATTCCGGGACTTCCAGTTTCCCCCTTACTGGTGGTTTGGATTGGTGGTTTGAGGATTTAAACCCTAGTTTTTGTCGAGGGTAAATGGGAAACCCCTCCATTTCACCATCAACCCACCAATCCAAACCACCAACAAAGAGGAAGCTGATTTGCACCTACCAAGGTCGCCGCATTCCAAGTTTTTGAACTCTAAAAAAGCACGCGAACCTCAAAACGCGCGCGGGAGGCGCCTTCTGCCGCGGGGGAGTCTGCTGGCGCACCTCCTTCGGCCTGGCCGCGGGCACTGAGATCTTTGCGCTGGCGGTGGCGCTGGTGCTGATGCATCTTAGCCAATTTTTTGTCACGTTCCTTGGAAGGTTTGTTTGTTCGGTTGGCTTCTTGGTTTGTTGGTCTGCTTGATACCTGCTGAGCCCTCATGTTCTTCAAGGTGCTACCAGGGACTAAAAACGAAAGCGAGCCAGGAATAGTTGGGTTGAGGATTGCTCATGAGGCTTCATACTCTTTATTACGGTCTTTCGCGAATCTGAGGAAGGGAACTAAGTCCCTAAACTCGTAAGAGGCTCAGCCGCTTGCTTTGGCTCTGCAAGCTGTGCAGAAACATGTTTACTCTGCACATTGAATCGCGAACTACGGTTTTGTTGGAACAAGCTTGGCAGCAGCGAGCCATTTTGTGAGACTGAGGTGGAAGGTACGGCATGCTCAAGATGAGCAGCGTTGTAGCAAGGTAGCAGCCACTAAAGCGTAGAACAAGTCGTGTGCGCCAGCCAAAAGATCGCTGGTCAGCACACACACTATGCTGTGAAAACATGCTGCTTGCAAAACATGCGCGGGGGGATTGCGAGATTAGGTTGCGTGCTCGCCATTTGCTTGGTTCATTGGCCCCCAAAGCGGAGTCAGTGAGCCAAATGTGCGCGTCTGTGGCAAGAGAAGCTTTGTGGACACATGCGAGGTCGTGACTATGGCAGTGTGGCGGCGATTTGGTGAGGAGGTGTGGAAGCTCGCTGCTAGCGATGATTTTCATGGGATGCAGACAGGTTCAAATTTGAGTACTTGTGCAATCTCTCCGTGGCAGATTGACCGGCACCGAATCCTGGACACGACTCGCTGCGGGAAGACTGGCGATCGGGGCAGCCCTGGCGCCGTGCGGGCACAGGACACGACACAACCTGATTGCTTGCCCAGACCTCGGGGCTGCGAAAGGAGGCTTCCCAAGTAAACAACTTGATAAATCCTTGTGCAGACAAACTGCGCGTTTCGCTGCTTCGCATGGATTCAGCCGAGAGACAAAGTACCTCATGCTGTGCCACTCATCAGCAGCCTTGCCCAAAACCTTCCGACATCCCACACAGAAAGGTATTGATTTCCACATTAGTATGAGCGAGGTAAGTATTGTATAATTTGCATACCTGATATTTGATGGCGAGCTCTGCAGGTGTAAGTGTACAGGTGCCTCAAGCAGATTTTGCCGGCAGCGTGGTGTGAGTTGGCGTTGGCCGCTTTGCTACCAGTTCACCCCTTAGTCATCAGTGGAATGAGGCCGGCAATGTAATTGGCATTCTTGTGGGTTGTGCCAGAGAGGGATTTGGATGCAGTGGTGGATGTTCAGGATAACTTTCTGATCGAGGTCCATAGTCAGGTCAGATGTGAGCGAATTTCTGCAGGCTTTTGTTGTACGTTGCACTTGAGTCCTGGAACTTAATGAGAGAGAGAGAAAGAGAAACTAACAACGCAGTCATTGCATGTGACGGAGAGATGCAAGAAACTTGGGAAGCTTCAGGATCCAAAGATGCGCTCCTTCGCACCCAATGACTTTATTGTGCACATGGATGAGCACCGGAAGGCATCCGGCTTAGCCAATCTTTCAGCACCATGCATGAGAGCTGACCTTATCTCGCACTTCAGATGAAACCTGAGAACCTAGTGTTCCATTCCCTTGTTTGGAAGGAATAGTGTTGAGGGCTTATGCACAGCTTCATAAGCAATCTTTTGAGCCAGAAGTGAACGAGTCACCTCAGTGCCGCTCGTTTGAAGGAAGAAAGAGTCCTTTGCTCAGGACGTGGCTGTCATCCTGGAGCGCCACTGGCGTGACTACATTGTATCCGAGGCAGGGCCCTCGTGTTCCACGTCGGGTGGGCGTTCTGCCTGCATTCGTCGCATAGGTCCTCGACAAAATGTCGGAGGTCAACAATTTCTTCATCGAGAATCCGCAGAAGCATTTGAGGCGGGGAACACAGATGTGTCGTACTTCCTTCGCAGCATGAACATAGGCGAAGACGCAGTATGCTGATTTCGGATTTATTACTTTGTCCCACGTAACTGCTAAAGATGCTATGTGCTGTGACTAAACACTTTTAAGGGATGCAACAACATCCGCAGTCTCCTACATCCCTTGGAACCTTCAAGCCACACCCAGCGTGAGAAAGGACCGTATTCGAGATAAATTTCGACGTTAACATAAAATTGAGGCAAATACGGACTGGTACCTGGTTTGGACAGATCTGCCCAGCTGACTTCCATGAGCAGGCTGTTTTGCACTCGTGAAGGGGGCGGACGCACACGAGGGAATTATTACTTTCAGGGGATGCGCATGCTGACAGTGCTAGCTTTATCACCCAGTGAGCACAAGCTACTTCAATTGCTTTCAGGGCAGGAACAAAAGCAACATGCTTCTATTTTTCACGGGAGAACCCCCACATGAACACACATTTCCAGGGGGAGATGAACATTTTCGAGCGTTGCCACGGTGCCGGCAGCCCGGCAGGCAGCCTCTTCACCGCGTGTTGCGCAAGCCGGCAGCTGAGATTCGCAGCCAAAGGCAGGCCCCGAAATTTCAATGGGGTTTTTGAGGCGATTCTTGGCTTGAGTTTGCTTTTGCCTTGTCAAGCGGAAAGCTAGATAGCCCTGGTGAGTTATCATGTTTTGAGGGATCCAACAAATTGGCATGGCAAAGTGTACATGTGTGAGTAGTTTTGATGTCCCCCAAATGCAACCAGTTCAAGACTCAAAAGATCTGCACAAGTAAAAAAAAGTAGCTTGTAGCCACTCAAATGAGTTTAAGATTCAACCTTTCCAACAACAACTCAATTTGTTGGATTTGTCATCATATGTCTGCTTGACATGCTTTGTCATTAGGTCTGGATTCACTATGCGTTCAGGTTCAAGACGTGCACACAGTGGTTCGTTAAGCTGTGGCATGTGGCTGCGGCTTGCCGTTTGAGACAATCAAACGATAAAGTGGCAGGATGAAGTGATTTGTATTATTACATGTTCAAAGCACACAAAGGGCTTGATGTTGTCATTCCGGATACCTGCTGTCAATGGTAGCCACAAAACCCTCGATCATTTCCAAGTGCTTCAACGCCTCCAACAGCTCCACAAAAGCCGCTTGTGTCCAAATGCCCACAGCCCCAAATGCTCCCCAAGTTCTCTCCAACATGCTGCCCCTGCTGCAATACTTCCCAACCTGCCAATCCCCCCTCTCAAATGCTGCCTGCGCAAATGCTTCCCAAATACTCCCCACCACCTGCCCCAAAATGCTCTCAAATGCTGTCCGTGCCGCAATACTTGCCAAGTTCTGCAAATCCTCCCCACGATGCAAGTATTCCCCAAATACTCCCCAAACACTCCCCAAACACTCCCCAAATACTCCCCACATCGATAGAAATGCTCCCCAGATTCTCGAACAAATGCTGCCCGCCGCAATACTTGCCAGGTTTGCCAATCCTCAAATGTTCCCCAAGTGTTCGCCAGATTCTCCTCAGCTGCTCGCAACTGCTCCCCAGATTCTCTCCCAAATGAAACCCCCAATTCCAAATGCTGCCCGTGCAGCAATACTCACCAAATTCTGCCAATATTCCTCGAATTGCAAATCTTCCTCGCATGCTCAACTGCTCTCCAAATTCTCTACCAAATGATGCCTGTCCCGCAATGCTCCCCAAATTCTGCCAGGTCTCCCAAAAGTCCAAATCTCCAAATACTTCCCAAATACTTTTTATAGGCCTTCCAAATGCTCCAAAAATGCTCCCCCCTAAATTCTCCCCCAACAGTTCCCTAAATGCTTCTCGAATTCTTTCAAAGCTCTCTCGAAATTCTCAAGAATACTCTTCGGCATGCTCTAATCCGCTCCCACTCCGCAAATACTCCCGCTTGCAACCACACAACACATTTGTTTGGTGGGTCGGTTGGTTTTTGTGTGCCTGGTTGGGCATGGACGGATGCATAGAGTGGCAGCATTGGTTGATTCATGGGGTTTGAACCAAAGAGAGAGCACAACAAACACTCGCGAATCATTGACCGCCCCAGGGTCCTCGAGAATAACTTCCCCAAAATGCAATTGTAAGCAAAAAGAGCTCTCAGCTACTGGGGGCATCTTTCTGGGGCGAAGACTATGAATTCAGCTTTCTGCCCTGGCGAGATTATGAGTGATGTGATGGTGAGCTTTTGGCATGTAGCAAGGTTGCCAGTTCACATCCCCTGTGCCAGCCCAGCCATTTCAGAAGGAACGCGTTCCGCAAGGCCGCTGCAGAGCTGCAATCGTGTGAAGAAAAAATACAGCAAATCTGTGTTGCAAGTTGTGTTCAAGATTCCTGACCGCATCTCTGACGTCAACTACACAAATCTATTGCGACGAATCATGACATGTTCTGCTAAGGTTTGATTTGATCCTCTCAGCGCAGATGAGATGGTTTGTGCAGATGTCGCTGACAGACTGGGTGGGGCTCTGAGCCCGTGCAGATCAAGTCGTGCCTGCGTGAGCTCTCGGCGAGCGCTTGATCTGTGCTAGTACCATTTGAATTCGGATGACAGGGCGCTTGTGTCATTTTGGTGTAGCCATGACAAAAGGCTGCATCTTGGCTTTCTGTCAACGTAGGAATCCCTAGCCTTTCCACAGGCACCATGTTTTGCCTTCTGCTAAGGTGGCCTTTGTCCGCTCTTTCATGCCCAGGGAGGACACGCCGCTTCCGTGGAACTGGCAAATTGCTTGGAGCTTTGGAGCATGCAAGCTCGCATGTATCACATGTATGTGATCCTCCTTTGCAGTCCATGATACTGTTGCGCATCTTTGCTTTGTAATGTGAGCCTTTGTGAATGACACAGCTTAGCCGTTGCCCAGTTCTTACCAGCGCTCATGTCCCCATCGCTAGGCTGACACCATGGATTCGTTTGTTTAAGCGTCTCTTTCTTCATGACAGGGCGCCCTTGCTCACGCTGAACCTCGAGGCCCTCTCTGGTGAGGCGCAACGTGCAGTATTTTGTCTTGTGAACCCAAGTCTTGGGTGTGCTGCTGTCTGTAGGCTGGGAGGGAAACGGGGCTTGCAAGGGAGGGTACCGGTGCTCTGCGTCGAATACATCTTCTTGGCGGAGGTGCAGATAGCACCTCACCCGGACGACCTCAAGCTGAAGATCCTCGACCTGATCGACGACGTGACAAAGGCGACTGACATTTAGTCGAATAGGAGGGACTTCGGCCCTAGGGAAAAAATAGGAGTGCTTTCCAGCTGAACTGGATTGGCACCATCCCATTCTCAACACACGCTTTTTTTGGGTGCTAAGGGGTCAAGGGACTTCGCCGAACCCTCGCTACTCCTTCCAAGGTCTCGCCTCCAAGCGATTGGCTTTGCCCGTTGCAGTCAAACCGGTGCCATCGGCACAGGTGACGTCTGCCATCATGAGCGTTGAATACGAGGCGCCGAGTGACCGAAAGAATTGGGCCTTAGATGTCAGCAGAGGGAAGTCGACTTGAACTGTTTTGGGTTGGGTGGCATTCGCGTGTGACCTGAGCGTCGGATGTCCACTGACCCGCCTTGCCAGCTTGTGCCCTTCTGCAACTTGCCTCAGCATTTGATGTTTGAGCCGGGCACTCGGATCTAGCGTCGTTTACAGATGGGCTTTGTGAACGGCAGTCAATGCAAAGGGGTGGACATGGTCAGTGAATGCAAAGGGGTGGACATGCGGTACACATCAAATTTCATTTTGTTGAGGATTTCTCTCTCAACCATTAGAAGGCCAGGCTCCGGCCTTGCCATGTTTGCTCGAGGCTTCAAGCAGATGGAGCCCATCGTGAGGAGTCTGAGAAAAAGGAGGCCCCTGAAAGAAACGCCACGCCTAGGAGCCCTCTTGTTCTTGGCCATGCCAATCTTTGCAAGGATTTCAATTCAACAAGTCAGCGTGGTCGGATTGGAGGTCCCCAGCTTGCTGAATCAGATTGACTCGCTTTGCACGCGCAGGGCGAGGACACCGCTGTCATCATGCCAGCGTGAGGGCACTCAGAGAGGCTGCGTCGACCTTGGCTTTGTTCAGACTATTCAATGAGAAGCACACAGTTTTGATCTTTAATTTAAACTTTGCTCTTTGATTTGATCAGTATTCTTCGGGGATTTGCAGCATTGTGTATTTTGCCCTTCGCGGAAGTCAGCCCTTCTTGCTGACACCCTGATGTCTGGTACACGCACGCACACACACACACACACACCAAAGAAGCCACTGCAGGCCATACAACACGAATCAGGAATATGCAAAGTGGGGAGAAAAAAATGAATGAATGCTTCAACTTGACTCTGAAAGCAGAAAACAGCAGTCCTCAGTCACGTTCCTGGAAGGATGGCTAGTGCCGAGAGAGAGCATTAAGCTGTGTTTTGGAGCCCTGGCAATCTGTGTATTTGTACGGAATTATTACGAAGGTTGGGAGGAGAAGCAAGGCCGCTGCCAAACAAAAGACACCTCTGTGAAACCGAACAAGGGTCAATGGCGGAACAAACACAGGCTGATGCATTCCAGATGAGAGAGAATGTTACGGCTCATACTTTGTGCCCCTCTTACACATGTGGGTGGAAGCCGGACCGACAATAAATGCTGGGCACCCTTTCTCTCGCCATGCAAGACTATCATCGATTGCGAAAGGACCATCATGCTTTTCTGAGAGCGCCTTTGTCTGAGAGCGCCTGAAAGGGATCTCATGAGGGAGGTGCTTGAGGATGGGACCTTCAGATGAGCCGACTGCAAACCGAAAGCAAATTGGTTAGATACATGAAATCCAGGATCCCGTTGTGATATACAGAGGCTGAGAAGCTACAAGAGATCGTAAACCGAGCATGTTCCCGACGTCAGTTTGCCCATGGTAGACTCCGTGGGGCCTTGGGGATAGGTGACAAAACCATGCGAATGGCTCACGGTCTGGAGGGCCTGCAGAGAGAGAGAGGTCTGTGACATTCTATTTTGGATAGCACGCATGGGTGCCCTTTTGGTTCGTTTTCAGGGGAAGCCAAAAGGAGAATCATCATTTGGGGGTGCCCAAGAAGACACATGCCTTGGGTGACTACTTTTTGAGGACAGACGGTCCGGTTGATGAAGCACAGCTGCTACGGTGTGCGAAGGCCTGGGCCGTAAAAAGAATCGCAGTTGACTTGGAAGAACAAAGATGGGTGGGAAGACCAACAAGAACGAGACAAGAAGACTTGATTACACACCCCATGCTCCCCCTACCTTAAACATGGCTACATGGTCCCAAGGCTGTCAAAAGGCCCCCAGGCCCAGCTTTGAAGCTTGAGGAAAGTTTTTGCCTGAGGCGGCCACTGCGGAGGTCATTGAGGAATGCCTTCATGGGCCGCGAGAGGTGCAGGTGCGATGGGCGATGATGGCAGTTGCGTGAGGCAACTGCGTTTGCGTGAGGCGAAATACCAGGAGTATGCCTACCTCTTTCATGAAGAGGCCATGGACGTGACACTGAAAGAAGTCGAGGGAAGGCAACAAGAAGGCATAAGTGGAGCTGGTGATTGGGGCTGAAAAGGTTACAGCAGAACTGTCGTGCCACTTGATTGGCTGCAGGTCAGTGCTGACATCGATCCCCTTGATGTGGAGGCTGTAAGGGTGCGGCACTTTGAGCTGATGCAGGGATCTTCGCAGTTGTGCAAGACAAGCAATGGCATGGAGCAGGAAGAGCCCTGCCTGTCGCAACTGAAGTCTGCCATTTCAGGTCCGCACGGAGGCCTACCTACAGGCCCACCGTGTCAATGCGATCGTGACTCGCTGACATAGGACCTACGTTCTTGACGTGCGGTGTTACGCATGCCCGCCCGAGTCCAGATTCGATTTTTTCGCGTCGTTCAGGCGGGCACAGAGATCGAGAAGCTCACCACCGAAGTTGTGAAGTGCGCCTAGCCGTGTGGCGCCATATCACCTGGACAGCGCCAAAAAACCCTAATGAGCTAATTGAGGGCCTCTCCGAACGAAGCCTCGCGAAAGCTAAACCGAGGGCGCGAAAGCTTGCGGCGAAAGGGGTTGAAGAAGAGCCCGCCGCGAAAGCGTCGGGAAAGTGCATGTTTGCAGCTTCTGTGTTGCCCGCGAAAGCTCTGCGAAAGTGATCATTACAAAACACATGCCTGCGAAAGTGAAACATGTGGCCGCGAAAGCATTGCGAAAGGTTTCGCGCAATCGGTTTGTTAGTAGAGGGTGTTATGTATGCTATTTTTGACACCGCTCACCTTGGACAGCTAGAATCTAGCCACGCAGTCAGCACGACTTGGTTGCTCCTAGACTTGAAGTCAATGCATATCATCGTGCGCCTCTTTCAATTGCCCATCGTTTGCCTCGTCAGCCACAACGCGACCTGGAGCCAGGTTCCCGCTCTTCGAGCTGCATTGCCAGGACGGCTTGCGAGATGGTTGAGACTCACAGCGGGAGTTGGAATTTAAACTTTTCATAGGACTTGTTTGGCCAATGCAATCCAGGAAGTGAGGGGAAGATTTAGCACTTGCGCTCTTTGTCATGCAAATGCATGTGGCGGGTGCCACCGGACAGAAGTCGCTAACCGTGCGCTGGCAGGAAATCATTCAGTCCATGTCTCAGCGTGCCTACTACTTGGCAGCCTGCTGCTTGCAGTCTGTGGCACAGAACATCCAGGCCGCATGAGGGAGCTCGTTTGGCGCAGCCTCTCAATTCAGCCTTTTCATGGCATTTCTTTGCACAAAATGCAAACGCATCCACACGAGTCTTGACACACTTGGTGCCACTTGGTTCATTTGCAGGAGCGTTCCCAAGCTGTGCTGACCGAGTGGCTCTGCACTTGGTATCTACCCAACGAGTTCAGCAATTTTGATCAGAGTCAGCCAAGAGGGATAGATGCTCTTTGACGCTTGGGTTCTTGAAGTGAGGCAAGAGACGCACGAGCGGATCGGCACCAACCCGGAGGATGAAGAGGAGTGGTTCGAACGAGCCAAGTGGCCGCCTCCATTCAGGTCCTTGGTAGTTGGCCCGTCAAGTTGTCAACGTCCTAAAAAAGGCGGATTTGAAGTTCAGATATGGCTGTGATCCCATTTTGGGGTAGGTGCACCACCCATTCTAGGCTATTCTAATGGGGATTGGGATGTTCACCGGGGGTATGGGATTTTGACCCATGGCCATATTCCAGGTCAAGGCATTGGACTAAGAAGCCACAGCTGTGTTCCTGGGCACTGCTCAGCGCAGCCCCAGTGGAGATCTCTGCTTGAGGAGCTGGCCAAGCTGAAACAATTCATGGCCGACTTGCCGCAGCTGAAGACGAAGCCCTCCACTTGGCGTGCATTCCTCTAGGTCTGTGAGTCTGTGATTACTCTTTGGCTAGTTGGCTTCAGATGCCAAAATGCATTTTCTTGATGTCTCACGAATTTTTGGCGACTGGAATTCTGCGCAATCGGCCTGCGGCCGTGCTCAGAACTCTTGCATGCGTGACTCCGTGAAGGCCACTCATGCAGACCACCCGGCACATTCACACGCAGATCAACATGCTGCTCAGCGGGCAACCGTAGCTTGGTGAAATGGCAAGCAAACGATGCACTGCCTTTCCGCAAGGCTAGCCGACTTCAGCTTTGACATTGACACTGAGGCGGCAGCTTCATTGTTGAATTCAATGCTCATCCATGCTAAGCCGCGGGCAATGCAGCTAGGGCATGGTCGTGAGCCCAAGCAAACCCAAGACCTCAATGTGGCATACCCCTTGGCTTGCGAGACAGGAGCACCGGAACCGGAGCCGATTTTGTCGGCTCTTGGTTTGCGAAGCAACCACTTGTGCAGGTGGTGGAGAGAGCCTTCTCCTCCTTCGCGTGGCCATTGCAGATTCAGATTGATGTGGGCGATTCAGCGGGGCGCTCGGACTGGCAGTTGACCAGGGTGCATGGGGAATCCACCTGTTTCGCTTGACACGTTTAGAATGCTGCAGCGTGTCTCATTTGTAGCCTATGTGGACTGTAACAGCGGTGATTTGATACCATCCATCGCAAACGTGACATTACCAAAACATAGGGATCCTTTTACGGCTGGTTTACAGGGAAACAAGGCAACCAACCGTTGGGGAAGATTCCAGCAACCTTCGGCTGCTTTGGGTGCCGTGTCAACTGGCTGGGAATCAAAATTGGTCAATGCATTTGGTGCGAATTGATGATCAACTTTTCGGGTACGTTGGAAAGCTCCCCCTGTGAAGCGCTGCAAGGAAAGAAGCCTGGACTCGCAAAAGCAGAAGTTCATGGAAAAGCTGGATCGCGAGAAGACTGAGCGACCTGGCATGAACCCACCGGTCTTTGCGATTCTCACATCGTGCTATTAGTAAATCCAAGACCCTGCGCCGCCCCGCAACCTTAGCGAACATCCTGAGTTGACAGTCTAAAAGAATTGGGATGCCTCCAACAAGTAGACAGAACGCCGCCTCGGAGGCAAGCGTGACTTTGTCAATTCACGTTCGAAAAGCGTCGTTCGACAGAACCAAAGCGGTTTTTGGTGTCTGCCTCTAGAAGCCGCAAGGTATGAGCGTGACATGGCTCGGTACCAGGAGGACCTGGAATGGGTCAAGAGTCTGCGTCTGGGCTGCATGCGTCGGCTGAGCATCGAGGTTGAGCGTAAATCGCAGGCTGACTGCAGCCAAGGAACGACTACTCGCTGGCCATGAAGTGTGCTCATCGCATCTACTCTCTGCGGGTCAGCACACGACACAAGTGCGAGTGTTTGTTGAGGCCTTTGAATGTCCAACACTGTCATGGGCCAATGGGGGCCAACAGAGATGAGATTAAAATGCAATTTTTGGCAATTCCAAGCCGTAACGAGCAAAGAATCGCTTCTCCCTCACATTTGCCCTGAGCGCATCGAGCGCATCGAGCGCATCGAGCGCCAGGAGAACTTGGACCGCGCGAAGGAGCGGGTGCAGAGCTTCCTGGAACGCGAGCGGCTCTTTGGTGCGGCTCTGAGTTTTTTGTGCGACATGGTGACTGGCGGCTTGCGCAGCGCATTTCGAGAGTTGCGAAAGCAGCGCACCTTTTGTGGTGCCGGATTTTGTTCTCCCACAAAGTGGCTTGGTGCTTGTTTTGGACCCTGAGATTTCCGGCTAATAATCATAGGAATTGGTGACTGGGTTGCGGAGGCATGGATGTGTCGGACTATTCCGCAGTGGAGAACATGATCGAGGCTTTGTGTGCCACGTTTGAATCTCTCGCAGTATCCAGACCCTTTATGCAATGTACAATACAAGCATCCACCTGCATGAAGCAGTTTGATGCTAGCGATGCATACTTTCCAGGCAAGCTTGGGGCGAGCTTGATCAGCACAAATACGACATGAGAACTATGGGTTTTGACTTTTGCTGAGCCAGTGAAGGAGGGTTTCCGTCCATGCCGTTTTCAGCTTTGTGAGGCCTTTGAGCCCTACTACAAGTTATGGACGAGCGCCATCGACTTTAAGCACTCAGAGGTGCGCTGGGCCATTTGCGCTGACAGACTGCCGGGCACAGTCAGCCAAGAGCTTGAGTGGAACAACCTGCGGCACTGCTGAAGCATGCAATTGCTCAAGTCGCCATCCATGCACGTACACTCATCGAAGCATTGCATTGTGTGAGCGCTCGGATGAACTTATTGCGGCATTGCCTGATAGGCCTAAGTGCTTGGTGTATTTGCCAACCTGCACCATTGATGCACTTGGGCCTCTCCGTGCCATGGTTTGCACCTGTAATCTGCTTGGCGCTGGTTCTGCAAGGATGCGAGGAGATTCGGCAAAGCCCTTGGGTCTTCGGAGAGGTAAGCAATGGTGTGCGCACCACTCCTGCTTTCAGCTCTCAACAGGATCTTTGGCCGCACAGTTGCCAGCAAGCATATATATATATATATATATGTATATATATATATATATACACACACACACACGCACCTTGGTTTGTAGCTTGAAAGCGGCATTTTGGTTGAAAGGGAAAGTGGGGGCCAAATTAGGTGCGCACAGGCCATTACTTGTTTGCTAGCGAGAACGAAGCACCCATCGCGAGGCCTACTTTGGATCTGACGGAGGGAAGCTGCTTGCAGTCGGAAGAGACGGGACCCATCGGTGGTCGTTTAGCACTGGAGGGCCCGTCAGATCGTCACCCAGAGTCAACAACGGACAAATCTATTTCGGCTCCAACGATGGCAAGGTATATGCTGTGTCAGAAACGGGGTCCAAAGTGTGGGACTATGATGTTGGAAGAGCCGTGGCCTCCTCGCCGGCGGTGAACAACATGCGCATGTATGTGGGCGCGGACGATGGGAGCATGTTTGCCTTCAGGGAAGCTGATGGGTCAAAGGTCTGGCAGTTCCAGACTGGGGCGCCTGTCAGATCGTCTCCGGCCATCAGCAACGGCAATGTCTTCTTCGGATCGGACGATGGGAAGCTGTACGCCGTCAGCGAGGACGGCGGCTCCAAGACCTGGGACTTTGATGCGGGGGCCGCCATCCGAGCCGCGCCTGCGGTGAACCGAGCGCAGGTGTACTTCGGCGCCGACAACGGCATGTTCTACGCCCTGCGGGCAAAGGACGGGTCCCGGGTTTGGGAATACAACTGCTCTGCAGCAGTTCAAACTGCTTGCCTGGTGACCAGAAGCCGAGTATACTTTGGCTGCGATGACGGCAGAGTTCATGCCGTTCGTGAAGTTGATGGAGTTCCTTTGTGGGTGTTTGCTGCTAGTGGCAAGATACATACCCAGAGACCTTTTGCCAATGTCAATGAAAATGTGATTTTTGGGACAGAAAATGGAACAGTGTATGCTATCAGGCATGCTGACGGACGGCTTTCCTGGGACTTCATAAGTGGTGGTCCAATTCTGTCAGCGCCTGCTTCCTACTTTGAATTGATTTATTTTGGCTCTGACAAGTTGTATACTCTGGCACGAGACGGGAAACCGCCATGATTTTAGAGCACGTGTGATCGTTTCACCTTGACTGCCCAAGTATCCTGCTGTTGCTGCTCTATGCACTCCGGCTTGGACGTTTGTGCAGTGAAGAAAGAAGCGCGAAGTGGTTGCGCAGTGCACCTGGAGACTTCTCGGTGCTTGGCGCTTGCAATGGGACTGGAAGGTTTGCGGTTTGGCAGCTCGCATCGACATAAGGGTGTGGGTCAAAATTAAATTACCAGGGGACCCCAGGTTTTAATCCTAGGTTCCATTTACCAGGGCTCCGTTTTGGGGTGACCCATTCTTGACCCACAGCCATAAGGAGTCGAGGCCGCGCGTTGCTTCGGCTTCTGTCAGGAAGAATGGCTGACTGGCATGGTGCAGCGTCTGGTCGCGGAGGAGATCGAGACGGTGGTGGAGGAACAGTGCAGCTCTCAGAGGGCTGTGGTCGTCAAAACCGTTTTGGGATCCCATTTTGATTGGTAGGTGAATTCACCACCCATTTTAGAACCTATTTTAGTGGGGATCGGGATGTTCACTGGGGGTACGCCATGGCCAGATGGTGGGCATGGCCCTTGTGTTTATTTTTAAGCTCAAGGACCTTGCCAGGAAGACTATCTGGTTTTCTGAGCAGTGACATTTCAAAAGCTGGGCTTATGGGCTTAGGTATAAGGAGAGCTACAAGACCATCAAGCAGTTCGAGGGCAATGAAAACCCGCTGGCCGTGGCAAAGGACTGCACCCATTGATCCTGCCTGTCACCCTCCCTGTACCGACTTGAGCTCGTTGCCCTGTCTGTCTTACATGTTGTGTTCCGATTCTGTGGCATTCGACAGCACATGGACCACCAGTTGTGTTTTACATTGAACAGTTTCGAGCGCCTGCTGCCAGCACTTGTTGGAAGCAGATGAGGCGCCCCTTGGTCGAAAGCCAGGACCTGCGCGAGGAAATCTCATCATTTCGAGCTAATATGCGAAGCCTGCCATGTATTGCACGCGTCAAGCGTACGGTGGCAAAGTGAGCCAAGCTTTCCCTAGAGGTTAACCCAATCAGCGCTTTGTAAAGATTCGCACTGCCCCCACTGTTGAGTTGATGTGTTTCTGCCAGGCCTGTCATCCGTGCACTCTGCCAAGAGGCTCAAATCGGCATGCCACTGTTGGGAGTGAATTGAATGGTTGGAGCACGCTTGCGCGCATGTGTGTCAGGCAAAAATAAACTGGACAGTATCTTTGCACTGCAGCGGCAAAGCTCCGCAGGCTTTTGAGCCGCGACACTTTGCAGACCTCTTCGAGGAATTGCGGATGGACATGGACATGGAGGAGGGCACAAGAGCAAAGCGGCTTGTTTGGCGAGCTGTGGATCACAGGATGGCATCACCTTGCAGCAAATGCTGGACGTTGGAATCCTGGACCACATCGACACCTTGGAGAGAATAAGTGTCAAGGTGACTGTGCTGTTTCTGTCTTTCAGAATGTCCTTACAGCATTTGTCAGGCTCAGAAGGAGCACGGCTTGAAAACCGCCCTGGCGACGATGAAGAAAGAGCCAGACACTTGGTTTGCCGCATTCTGTGAGGCTCCGATGTCGTTGCCTATTTCATAGTTGAGCTTGCGGCATCACTTAGGTGGCGCCCGATCGAGTTTGGCCTAGTGCCACACAAAGCGGGGACGCACATGGTGCGGGGCATTGATGAGATCCAGGTGCCTTATTCTTGCCGTGTGCTGTCTACCATTTAACGTTTGTGTTTTGTTTGCTACACATGCAACTCAGTGCAAGGATTCCCATACCATTCTTCACAGGCGGTGCTTGACGATCATATCGTCAAGACGATGGGAATCCGTGGCTCGCCTTTTGCCGGGGGCTTGCTGGTGTCATTTGCAGAGCAGCGCTTGTGCCTGCTTTGAAGGTCGAGCCCATCGAGAAAGAGGTGAAGGACAGTTTGGGGAAAGACGTCATGTCTCAGCTATCCAAAAGAGTTTGAGACCGGAGCAATGAGAGTTTGAGAGCGCTCCAATGAAGCGTGTGCCACAGTCAAACGACTTGTGGTAATTATTGTCATCAAGCACCATCATCAGATTATCCGAGTTTACCTTCCAGCGGGAGTTGGGAATGTGGCATGCCGAGATCATGATCTCAGAACCTGAAAGCAGAGAAAGCATGGAGGACTGGCTGCAAAAGCTGACATACATCCAAGACCTGCTGGAGCAGTGGCTGGCAATGCAACGCTCATGGCTTTACCTGGAGCCTGTGCCTCAGAGCCTTCACTTGTGTGACACTGTGAAGATTCCCATTTGAAGCCCTCAAACTCGAGGCCGATCTTCAGCTCTGATGATATCCAAAAGCAGCTGCCAAACGAAGCCAAGCGGTTTCAGCAGGTGCGCCAGAAGCGGAGAGGACGATACAAGCTGCCAATGCTGGTACCTGAATGATTTGCCACAGACCAAAGAATCCATCAACTGCTTTTAAGAGCGAAGACTAGCATCAGCTGCTTCCAAATGTGGCCAATGGCAGTCAAGTGGGCGAGCCTGACAGGTCAATGGGCTTTGGCGCACAACCATGGAAAGCGTGGCTGAGAATCCAAACGTTTTGGACGTGACACCCTTAGTACCTGAGCCTGGGGCTAGCAAGTTGTTGCGCTTGAGTTGAATATTGGACACATCTGAGCACCTTGGCACTCTTGCAGGTGTCAGAAATCGAGAATTTGCTTGCCAGCTTCATTGATGCCAACAAGAAGCTGGATGCTATCCAGAAAGGCCTGCAAGCCCCTCCACACACACACACACAGAATTCAGTGAGAGAGGGAGAGAGAGAAAGAGAGAGAAAGAGAGAGAGAGTGAGAGAGAGAGGGAGAGAAAGAGAGAGAGAGAGAGAGAAAGACTGCCCTGCAGGCCTCAACGACTACTTGGAGACAAAGCGCATGGACTTTCCACGCTTCTTCTTCCTCTCGAATGACTGGGTTGAGGGAAGCATGCATACTAGCAGCCTTGTCGCTGGAGTGTAGTAATGTGAGCCCACCGAGGATTTTAAAGGGTGTTGACATGCAGCGGAGTTCAGCCTTTGCCGGGTCCCTGAGGACGAGCTCCTGATGATTTTGTCGCAAACGAAGGATCCCACTGCTGCGCCAGCCTGAGTCCTGCCAGACACCTCTCTTGGGAGCTTTGGGGAACACCTTGATTGAAAGAGCCAACAGGATGCGTTGGATGTACTTTTCTGGTGAGAATCAATGCGCCCTGGTCGTAAAAGGTGCAGCCTCACATGGGCAAATGCTTCGAAGGTGCAAGGCTTAGCGATTGGATACTGCAGGAAGCTGGGGAGATCTTCAAACTGATGTCTTGAGCTTGAGGTATCAGCAGGGTCCGCTTCAACCAGACAAGCGAGATTATTGAGGCTATGTCGCAGAAGCCTAAGACTCTGACATCTCCGGAAGCTCACAACTGCACTCCAACAAGCCACACGCACACACACACACACGGACACACGGACACCACACACACACACACCCTCGTGCTTGCCCAATATCCTTGCCATGCATTGTGTCTGGGCGCATGCTGCACCACGAAGGTCTGTGGAGGGCGAAGTGGTCGAGTTGAGCAACCCAGTGAATGTCGCGGAAGGTGAGAAGCGCAAAGCCTAGCGGAAACGTTGAAGTCAGCCAAGCGCAGCTCTTGCTGACAGTTTCGTGCGTAGCCACGCCCCGAGGAAAGGCAATGTGGAAAAGTGGCTGATGGAGGTGCAAGGCTCGACGTGGGAAAGCAAGTGTTGTCCCATCGTCCCTCCATCAGACTGTCGAGAGTGCCAGGGTCCATGATTGAGAGCCTCACGAAAGTGACGGGGTCCTCGCTGGTGGCGTATGCGAAGACTGACCGTGCCGGCCTTGAGAACTGGGAGGAATGGCCAACCATCGGATCCTGAAGGGAAGTCTAAGCATGGCGTGAGCAGACCCCACCCTTCAAAACATGGGTGTGGCGCAAAATTAAAGAGCTAGGGTTACGCAAGTTTTAGTCTTTGGTTCCATTTGGCAAGGTGCCATTTTGGTACATTTATTTGAGCCACAGGCACATGATCATGGTGCAGACTCGATTGCCGCTCATGTTCGAGATTTCTGGATCAAGAGCCACACGCTGCCGGGTCATCCGCACATTTGGCCGACAAGTTGTTTACTTGCTATGACGACTGGCCAGCTGCCATGTATGCCTTGCAACTTGCCATTCCTTCTGTACTTCATGTCAGAAGACACCGATGGCTTGGCAGATGTCTGTATCATAGGCAGGCGGTGCTTTGATGCTTGCTCCTGTTCGTCCTTGAAGAAGGATTGATACATTGACCCGTGCAGGACAGTGCTTTTCAGTTTCCTCCCCGTGAAAGTGGAGAAATACATGTGGCTGTGGGTCAAAACCAATTGCACCATTTTGGAGTAGGAGCACCACCCATTTTGGTCTGTTTTAGTTGGGATTGGGATGTTCACTGGGGGTAAGACTTGGATTTTGACCCATGGCCATGTGAACTGATCTACAGTTTGCCCTTTTGGCCATTCCAAGTGGAGGTCCTCACACATGACCTTCCCACGTCCCGGCAGGCGCCGGCCTCGCCGGCCTCACTGCCCTGGAGCAGCTGTCGGCTGCTGGGCTGCGCTGCGTCGTTCTAGATGCCCAGACTGGGCCTGGAGGCGCGTGTGTTCCATTGGAGCCGCAAACCGGGCAGTGCCTTCGAAGTCGACTGGAAGGATTTGGAGTTCTTTGGTGTGGAATGACTTTCGGGGCCTTTCCACTTCGCTCTAACTCCGACTTATGGTGAACTGGGAACAACATCGATCCAGCGAGAGCTATGTGGCCCAACTTTGCCAGCAGCTCTGCGGCCGGGGAAGACTCTGGGAAGTTACGTAGACATACGGCTGGTTTTTTTCTGCGAGGCAACAAGGAGGATAGCAAAAACGATAACGAACATATGGGTATCAGCACTTGTGCCTCATTTATTTTGGTCAAAACGCAAACTTGCTCGTTGATAGAAGTGGTCATCAACCGTGTAGGGACTTTAGAGAAACCCTGTCAGGGTTGCTTTTAGGGAAGCCTCTGCATGATTCCAGGACGTTTGCGTGGGCGTTACTTCTGTGGCCGCTGGGTGGAAGAAGGCGCGGACTTGCATGGGGGGTGCACAGTGAATCTCCAGTCTGCCGTGTAAGCCGGGCGTTTGTGATTGTTGGGCTACCCGCCCTTTGTGTTTCCTCAGCCCCATCGATTTGGAGGCAAATTGCGCAAAAGAGGCCCTCCTCAAAGTTGTCATCACAACCGGAACTGCTCACGCTCTCCAACCCTGAGGAGCCAACTGGGTGCAAGGCTTGGGCAAGAATCCGATTTGGAAACGTGCTCAGCGGCTTCTTGGTTGCAGGTGGATTAGGCGCTTGAACATGTCTGCTTTCATTCTCGCGGGCGCTCAGGTGCGCGTTGCACGGCCGGCTGGAGTGCACGGATGGCTTGGTCTTCCGGGGGTTGGGCAAGAAGGGCCCGAAGGCTGCTCGGTCAAACTGGAAGTTTTTCACTCTCTCTCTCTCGTCACTCGTGTCACTCACTCTCTCTCTCTCTCTATCTCATTGGCCCCGGCTGGAAAAACACATCTGGGGTCAAAAAAAAGGGTCCCCGGTGTTAGTTACTGGTATGTACAATTGAGATCGAGCTTGATTCTCCGCCAGCATCGGCAACTGCCCCAGCTGAGGATTTGACAAAAGAAGCTCAGGCACGTGAAAAGGTGCCTTGGATTCTCTCTTGGCAAAATTGATGTGGTTCTGTGTTTCTCATTTCCAGAAGATGGACCTTGAGGTTCGGTACACCTAAGGTCCTGACGAAGGCCAATCGACTTGTGGATGCCTCAGTCGCACTTGGCATTTTCTATTTCGCCAAAGGTGGACCAAGGGCATGTTTTTTGTTTCCGTGCTACAGAATGGTCTTGTTTGGACCCTTATTTCCCTGCATTGATTCTCAAGATAGTGCCTCTTTTTCAGGGTACCCGTTCTTGTCGGGGTTGAAAGCAACACCAAGTTGGGGGTCTGAAGGGAAAAACGCATGGCAGAAGCCAAAAAGGTGGAGATGGGCAAGGCTGGGCGTGGCCGCAAGCCAGACCTGGGCTTGGCACAGGCGCTGGCGCACCGAGGCCGGGCCTTTTTTTGCGTGTGGAGTCAGTCGGTTGGTTTGTGTGGGTACTGCGATGGGTCGGCTGAACAAAACTCGGAGACAGGAGGGAGGGGAATCAACTTTGGGGGGTTAGACAAGAAAACCTGATCATGATCGCGAGGAATTCGGTCTGTGCCTCAATGAGCGAGCCGAAACATGTCGAGGCTGGGTTGCTTCCACCGTCTTGGACCGAGCTCTGGAGTTCTGGTTGGTGGATTTCGAGTACGGGGAGAGTGCTGCCCTCGGCTCAGGGATGGTGGATGGGAGAAAAAAAGTTGTCCAGGGACACAACACGTGTGAGCCAGAGCACTTGCCTCCAGGCGGTCAAGAGGCCTGGAACGGCATTGAACATTCGGCCAAACTTGCTAACCGCATTGTCGCAGAATGCACAAGGAACTGGAGCGCGTGCGACTCCTATCAAAGCAGGTGTATACAGAACGTGGCACCCAAACAGTGCACTTGGACAGCAGCAAATGCAAGTGCGGTTATTAGCAATGCGTTTGCGAACCGACACTGTGTTCGTGCTGTGGGTGTTTGTACATATATATATATATATATATATATGGGTTTGTCCTTTTTTGGTGTGTTGAGTTGCTTCAAAAGGCAGAAGGTGGGACCTCCCCGAATCATACCCCCCAATCATACCCCCGAATCATACCCCGAATCATACCCCCGAATCATACCCCTTAAAACGTATGCTGCAAGATGCTACTGTTCTTCTACCGTTTTGTGTTGTTCACTGCCTCCACAACAACCACCACCAGCGCAACCCAATACGCTGCTACTACTACTCTACTGCTTCTACTTCTGCTTCTGCTACCCTTACTACTAACTACTACTACTACTACTACTACTACTACTACTACTACTACTACTACTACTACTACTACTACTACTACTCTTACCTTTATTCCTACTACTACTACTACTACTACGACTACTACTACTACTACTACTACTACTACTACTACTACTACTACTACTATTCCTGCTGCTGCTGCTACTATTCACTACTACTACATACATCATGCTGAGTCTGTAATCAGTGCCGTTTTGCACCTAGCCGAATCATACCCGCGAATCATACCCGAATCATACCCGGACAATGACCTTCCCCTGCCAAGGCTAGTGCCAAGTCTTTTTCAAAGCGTCGCACCACTACACTGCTTATGCTACAGCTGCTACCACTACTTCTGCAACTGCTACTACTACTACCACAGCTACTACTACATTCATCGTTCTGAGTTTGTAATCAGTGCCGTTTTGCACCTAGCCGAATCATACCCGCGAATCATAACCGAATCATACCCGCGCAATGAACTTGCCTTGCCAAGTCTTTCAAAGCTTCCGCGCCACCACAGTCGCTGTTTCTACTTTTACTACTACTACTACTACTAGTACTACTACTACTTTAACTACTACTACTACTACGACTACTGCTACTACTATTTACTACTACTACTACTACTACTACTGCTACTACTACTACTACTATTGTTACTACTACAATATTACTAATACTACTACTACTACTACTACTACTACTACTACTTCTACTTCTACTTCTACTTCTACTTTTACTTCTACTTCTACTACTAAAAACTACTACTACTACTGTTACTAGTACAATATTACTACTAGTACTACTACTTCGACGACTACTGCTACTACTGCTACTGCTGCTGCTGCTGCTTCCGCGCATCATACCCCCGAATCATACCCCGAATCATACCCGCGAATCATACCTGCGAATCATACCCCGCACTCAAACCTTCCTGCCCGGTCCCCGTAAAAAAAAGTACAAGCCCATAAATATATATATATATATATATATATATATATATATATCTAGTCATATACACACGTGTCAGCGCGCTTGTGGGTTTGTTTGTGATGTCTATCTCAGGCATCTTGCAGTGTTTGTGTGCTCATGATGTAATGTCTGCGCTTGATGTTTACATTTGTGGGTTTCAGCGCATGCCTGATGTGCGTCTATCTCTAGTGTTGAAGGGCAAACTCCTTCTTGGGCAGCTCACATGCACTTGACTTATTTGCACCTCAGTGTTGCGAGCGTTGGATGCTGGTTGCTGGTAGTTGAGGTGCTGAACGCGTATCTGTGAAGCACAATGTGCATGGAGAATACACCTGGAATGACTTTGGCCAGAGCCTTGGGACATATGATGCAACATGAAGCTTGGCCTTGCACATGCGTTTCGCCATCTAGCATCGTGCAACATTTTGTGAGTGATGTCCTGCAGTATTAGCACGGTTGAGTGCTCGTTCTTACTTCCCTGGGCAGGTTCAGAGTCCGTTTTCATAGATGACCCGCGCGGCTTTTCGACCATCTGCCCAAGAGTGCCAGAAGGAGTCACCGGGGGCTGAGGGTTCCAAGTTACTGCATCGGACTTTTACGCTTCGCATCCCACGTTTCTTTGTGTCTGTGTTTGCTTCGTGCGTTATGACATCGGAAGCCAGCATCATCCTGCCCGGCGACGGATAGGGTCTCCAAACACTGTGCTAGTGCTTGCTGATTCTTCGCTCAAACCAGAACGCAAGTCTGCATCACCGAAAGCACAACAGGTATGCAGCACGTTTCAGCCAAGACGGCAACATCAGGGATCCGGGTGCTGAAATTTGCAGCCCGCATTCCCTTTCGTTGCTGCCTCCTGCCTTCTTTCCGGCCAGACACATGGCGCGATGCCGCTGTTGCAAGCGTCTCGGGTGCTGCGTGGTGTCCGCTGGGGCGAGGAGGTCCGTGCCGCCCAGCGCCTGGCAGCAGCCGTGCGGCGGCCGGGTGGCCGCAGTGAGGCGCAGGAGAGCCTCCGGGAACTCTGCGTGCGGTGGCGGAGCCGGGAGCCGGGGAGTTCTCGCACCGCGGTGTCGCCCACCACGCTGCGATCCGCTTGTGGCATGGCCCGCAGGTGAATTGTTGTTGGGAGTTTGGAGTTGTGCGGTTGAGGAGAGTTGCAGAGGGTTTTTGCGGCTGACAGGTGCTTGTGTGCGGTGGGGTCTCCTGGAACCCGAAGAGGAGCAGACAATGTTGAGGTGGCTTGCAGCAGAAGTGGCCTTTCGCATCGCTCACTTCAGGCCAGGGTCAGGTGCGGCTGGCACGGCCTATGCGCGGGTTGTACATGAGGAATCTGGCAAGCTGATGCAGATGGTTGAGGAGCACATTCTCAAGCAGCCATGGGCCAGCGGCGCCATTGCCAATCTGATCAGCTTACTCTATGGGACCACAGATTTGGGTGTGACCAAGGCGCTGCTGCACTTGCGTGGTTTGGCTGCCGCCCAGATGTCGGCTTTCTCGCCTGCAGAGCTCATGGGCCTTGCCTCCGGCCTGGCCAACTGTGAGCAGCTGGACCCCGATTTTCTGCAGGACCTGCGCAGAGCCGTAGATGCCGCCGCGGCCAGTGCCGAGGCCGGTGAGGCGAGCGTGAGGTTTGGCGACCAGGGCTCCGAAGCGCAGCCTCGGATTTTGCGAGAGTTCCACGAGACGCTGGCGATTTGGAAGCCTGCGGGATGGTCATGCGCCACCGGACAAAGGAACAAGTCTGAAATGCCGCAGATTGGGAAGTACCTTGCAGATATGGGAGGCCCGTCAGTGTTCCAGGACCCTACTGCCGACCATGGTCTGGCTCACAGGTTGGACATTCAAACCAGCGGCGTCGTGCTGGTGGGCTGCACTCTTCGGAGCTACTGGCGTCTACGGCTTGAGTTTTGCGCCCAACAGGTGTCACGCCAGTACTTGGTGTTGGCCCATGGGCATTTGCCCTTCACTGAACAAGTTGCTGATTTGCCTTTGCGGCTGACGCGAGTTCCGACGTCTGCGCGATCTGTTCGATCGCTGTCCGTGGTTTGCACAACTGGGAGGCGGGGAGTGAGGAGAACTGTGTGTCACGGGCAATAGGTGGATGAGGCAGGCACATTGGGCTGTACAGGCAGGTGAGGCATGGTTCGGTTGGAGTTGGGCTGTCACGATTTCTTTTGCAGGCCCGCACGGACCCGGATAGTCCCCCTGGCACATCTCCGCTCAAAGTCTGGAGGACGCAAGCTTGGCTTTCGTTTTTGTTTGTTTGTTTGGTTCGCATTATTGCATTCTGTGAGAGGCAAGCATGACTCGAAGGGGGCCAATGAAGTATGATAAGCGGCAGATTGAACTGTCTGACAGGCCAGTCCCTCCGCTTTCGTTTCTCCAGGAGAAACCACACTTTTGCTGGCGGAGCCCCTCACTGGGAGGACGCATCAGATTCGCAGCCATCTTGCACATCTTGGCCACCCTTTGGCCGGGATGTCGAGCTGTGCTTACTGGCTTTAGTTTCCACTGTAATACATATTTGCCCTTTGCAATTTCGAGACGTCTGGGAATTCACGTTAGAGCAGCATCTCACGATGATCAGAATTAGTGCGTTTTTTGAAGACAACATGCCAGGAAGTGAGAGTTGAAGCCTCTTCTTCAGTTCAGATGTGACACCCCCGTGTGCGGAGCTGCAATGGCAAACGAGTTGCTCAGATCGCAAGCGTCATATTGCATGACTCAGACTTTCATGAGCAGCGCGTAATATGATCATATTTGGTGGCGAATATGGGAGGAGGCCCCCCAGTTTCCCCATGCCAGACCCAAGTTTTGCCTTGCCCGTGTTTCATATGGAAGCGCTGCGATGTGACTGGTGCCGGAGGTGGGGGACGAGCACTACGGCCTGGAAGGCGCCGGAAGCCACGACTCGGACGACTCACGGCTTCTGCTCCACTGCAGCGCCCTCACCTTTCTGGAGCCTCGTCGCCACTCGAACGCACGATGTCATTTTTCAGGGACCTGAGTTCGCGCGACAAGGCCTTTGAGAATCAGTCTCTTTTACCAAGTTTTCCAGATTTCGTGTTGACATGTGGTGAAGTTGCGGTTTGATCAATTTATTTGGCGGGACACTAAGTGGCAATCTAGTTGTTGTTGCTGACCGCACAGGTGATTGGACAGCCAGGCCATTTCAGCAAGCGCATGCGCCAGTGCCGCTGGACTTTTTGACGGCCTTGCGGAATAGGGAGGGTGACGCTCGGGCAGATGTGCTGCTCGCAAAGCTGCGTGCGGGAGGGGGGGGGACAAAAGAGCGAATGGCTGATCATGCGATCGGTTCGGAGGGATTGTATGGCGAGTGTATCGCCAATGGACTTGCACGCCTAAGAGTTGACTGCACAGATTCTGAAAGAGGGAGGTGCATGTTGAGCTTTGCGTCCTCCACAAGAATACAGGTTGCCCTGGTACACATGTTTTATCATTAAGGGGGCACCTGGTTCCGGCCGCACCTCTTGGGCCCTCTCCGGCGCTCGTCCCCGCGGGGGTTCACCCAATCATCCGAACGCTCAGCTTTGAAGATGCAGATGCAAATTTGGCGCTCTGTTCAATTTGTCGGTGCCGTGCCAACGTCACAGAACTTTGCAGGAGTCAATTGCTATTTCGACACTGTGGCAGAGCAAGTAGTCCAGCATGCTGACTTTGCTCAGGTTCTGGTGTTGCGTGTCACATTGCAATGAACGGTTATTTTGCGCACTTGTTTGCGATGTTGCTTTTGTTTGATCGGTGGACGCAGGTGCTCTGCCAGAACGGGCTTCAGGTGAGGAGCCGTGTTGTGCTTTGCACAGTGGGCGCCTCAAGCGTGAATGGGCGGTATATGACTTCCAAGTGTTTGCTTTCCCCATGGCTAACTTCTTTTGAACAAAATAGGATT